GTACTGCGAAGCGGTTTCTTTTGGTCCGTCATTACTTTTAGCAAGGTTCTGGAGACATTTTGTAGTGTTCTCAGTTATGTCAATGGAACGAATGGGTTGCCTCAAACTTGACAGTAGGCAGACACGAATCGCCGAAGGATCCCAGGCAGTCCAGACTGCGATCATTCGTCGCCGATCCGTTGTTCTGAAAGTTTGGTTATCCATCGTTCTACTCTAGTGGACTGAAGTAAATTCTTCCTAAAATTTCCGTTCTGTATGCAGGTCTGCAGTCCATGAGAAGCCTGCCGGTGGTGGGACGACTAGTTGACTTAGCAGCGGCCAGCTCCGTGATTTGAAATAATGCTATGAGTCTCGGTATACCATTACACCCAGCTGTGGAACTTTATAAAGCTCGAGACGAGTGAAGCCAACGTGCCCCGTGTTCGATCTCCCAGCTCGCTGGATTATTGTCGTCTTCGTAGATAGTCTAACCGGAGTTTCGACCCCATGTCCAGCGAATTAGCTCATCGGCTGCAAGTTAAGTTTCGACGTACTCCTGATTTTGGATGCCACGTGCTCAGTCCGTCTGCATTCCACAGCATGCCTCATGTATCGCCAGTTGCTATCATCAACTGATAATGTCTTTCAGGTTACAGGGAGCACCAGTATCTCGACAGTGCAGTGGGAACTTGAACATGACTGTCATTGTTGGGAGAGACTTGCGCAGCATCAACCTAACGCTCTTTGAGCCTGCCATACTCCAAATACAAAAAGCAAAGGCAACCGGAGATGCAAGTTGGTGCAGTTTACGTGCCAGTCCCTACAGGAACATGAGCGATAAGTCGGATGTGCCATTCAAGCTACTTGACATAAAAGGCTGCATTAAACAGGAGCCCACACAGCTTGACTATCAGCCTAGAGGAGGATCGGGTTACCCGTCAGTTTCTTCACCAACCAGTCCTGTGTTCATGGGCTTACAGGCAAATCAGATTAGCGGGATGGTGCATTGGACCTGTTTTGCGACACGAAAAAGATAGAATTTAGCCACTCAGTAAACATCTAATGCACGGGACGGTGACTTGGATGGTGTGTTAAGGCTAAAGAAGAAGGTTTGATGGCTTTCACTTCAGCTGCCTGCGAAGAATGCTGGAAATAAGGTGCCAGGAAAGGATCACGACTATTGGGGTCTCGGAAGGAGCATGCTCAGTATCTGCAGTCGGTGATCAGTTTCATGGAATTCTAATTGAAGCGCGTTTATCGACTAGGAAGAATTACTTAAGTGAACTTTAAATATTGATTATCTTACGGCATGTTAGGATGCCGGCTTTTGAACGCACTTCTTTCTGCCGCCTACAAAAACTGAACTTAAGAATGGCTAACTAAGTATTATGAATTTTTCTCATTGATTTTCGATGCCCACGTAGATTCAAACCTATCGTCTAGAAAACATGCCCAAAATACCCTATTTTGTACTCATCTGGTAGCCAACCACATCTTCAAGCTATTTACTCGAAGAAACTGTACAGTACATGCGCTAACTCATATAATGCTAACCGAAATTCTGAAACGCGTTTTTGTCTCGAAAAGATTCCTTAAGTAGGGCTGTGATATTAACTACCGCGCAGCATAACCCCAAGATATTTCAATCTTTTTGAGATGCCGGCTTTTGAACGAACTTCCGGCCGTCTGCAAGGACTACACTGTAAAAATGACCACGTAAGTAGTACGACTATTCCTTATTGACTTCCGATACCCTTATAAATTTTAATATTGTACTAGCTAAAAGCCCAGACACGCGTGTTTCGCCGATATTCTGCAGCTGCATGACACAGCTGCGAGGGGTTCTACTCACCTCTGGGTCCCCCAGCTTTCCCCGCGGGCTTGCTGATAGACACTCAAGTTTAGAAATTGTTGTGCTTTAATCTCCTCAGAAACTGACTGCTAACTTGAAGTGTAACATTTTAAACTAAAGTCTACAGGCGCAGACCGCATTTTGATGTCTGAATACGTATTTCGCAGAAAACATGCATTAGACTATTCATCCCTTTACTCGTTTGGTAGAAAATTACTTCTTTTTAAAATTTTGTACTTGAAAGAAGGATAGAATTCGGTTCGAAAAGAATAATTTAGAACCAGACCTGCCGTTACACTGGCGTTCAGGGTTTCCAAGTTACAAACTATATTTTCCGTGTACGGAATATCATACATTTCTATACGCTATCAAGAGGAGATCATGTGGATTTGGGTCATATTTTAAACTTTTCATGAAAAATAAGTAAATTCAGAGACACGATGCTTTATGAACGGGCATTTCACAGTCTTAAAAATATCATAATCAGAAACTTGAAAACCGAATTATAACTTTCCCTCGAGTATAAAAATAAAGAAGACGTTATTTTCCACCAAATGAGCAAAAGAATAAATATTTTTATGCATGTTTTACATGAAGTAGATTTGAATTTATGATGGCCTCGAAATCAGGTAATTGCGGGACCGCTCTTTCTAAGTTTGACGATTTTTGTATGACACTGGCCTACGCCAACCGTTTCTGAACTGAGGCCTCATCAAACGAAAATAGTGGCAGCAGTAATCGCAATACATTCCCAGCTGCTGCGCACAGTAACATTGCTAGGTTTGTCCCCAGTCGAGGAAACTTATTACATGACAACAGAAACCGAAGAGTTCCACTACCAGAACGCATTCACGTCCTAGATTTTCCATAGCGTATGCCCTGAGATACGCACTATCCGAAATGTGCCGTCTCCCTGTGTGCCTCCAAATTTGACCGATACACGGCAACGTCGCTTCAACTCATGTAAGTTTTTTCCTCCTTGGTTAAGGTATCATTTCCACCTGTTAAACAATTTGTGCAGCGGTAGGAAAAGCTGAATGTTCCCACCGAAAACCGATGTATGTTTGGATACCTTTTTTCCATATAAACTCTCGACCTCACCATCCTAGTTCGTCAGTCTGTGGTACAATTCATACCTTAATTGATATGGTTACAGTTCGACATGACATTTTGGGTATTTTTGCAGATTAGTTAGTGAATAATCGTGAGTTTACACGCTGATTGGTAGTCACCTATCACACTAACGTCGCAAATAACTTGTTTTTTTTCATTCTTTTGTCCTTGGAGTATTGTTAACGTATTCCAGAGCGTCAATGGGGTGACTGTACTCTGGCCTTCCGAAACGGGAGAGTAGAGACAGAAAACATATATGTTTGCCTGCGACTGCTTTAAGTGGTTGTAGCCAGGTTGGTGAAAGAGTTCGCAAAAAAGTTCGGCGAGATCGCAGTTGTAGCTAGGAATGGGGAAGCGGACGGCGACCTTAACCCTACTTCTAGCCTCAATCCTAATCCTAACCTCAACCTTAAACGTTAACCGTTAACCTTAACGGCAACCCTGAACCAAATCGAAATCATAAACGCAACCGTAGCCCTTAGACATAGCCGTAACTGGAAAACCTAACCGTAATACTGAAACCTAATCGTGCGCTCTAACCTCAACCGTAACCCGAAAACCTAAGCCTTAAGGCATTACCCTAAACCAAAAATCGGAAACAATTAACCGGTACCTTATTCCTAACCTCAGGCGTAAAACTGAAGCCAAATGGGTCAGATGTGATTATGGAACCCCACGAAATAGCCGCAGTAAACAAACCCCCCAGCCACCCGTAATGCAGGGCCTGGCTACCAACTACGATCTAGCCGACAAGTTCCATGCATAGGTCCACTGCAAT